AATAGCCATCCAAATTAATGATCGAAGCTTCCATTTATTGCTGTGTTTGTTTCGGTTTGAAGGGTGGGATATGGCGTGAATTTACAGGGTACAGAGGAATAACACCTGAGTCCTCACAAATGGCAACGCATGGGGGGCATCATGGGCGAAACAGTATACTCTGTTATGTCCGTGGTACTGCTCATGTCTATAGGCGACGGTTACCACTTTCCATCAGGTGGGCCGTCAGCTTGTTTGCCATTCTAAGTTGTATAAAAAAAAATTGCGTAACAAATAACACATTTATCTATACAAACAATTGATTTTAGTCTTAAGCAAGTTTTGTATGAGCGATTAAATGCGATGCAGAATTAGTACCTATCCCAATCAACCGGTTATAGCTATAAGCGTAGTGAAAGTTGCGCGAGAATCGATTTCGTATCTTTAACGACCTTTCTATCTACCAAGTAACATTGGTTTTATGCATTAGACAAGTTTTATATGTATAATGTACCGTGTGGTCCCTGTACAGAATAGACCAGGCAAGGTAGGGGGCCTTTCCAGTTTAAAAATGATGGAATTATAGCCAAATTGAGAACTTCCTTCTTTTTGAAGTCGGTTGTAAGGTCAAAATAATCAGCCGAACATACCTATTCATGTATTATTATCATCAAGCACAGTCTTATGAGAATATATCCATAGATGTAATAAATCTTAGATAATTTCTAAAATAAACAATACAGACACACAACATCCGCGTCCATTTATCGGCATTCAATTACAAAAACAAGAGAAAACTGCTCGTTTTGTCCTGGCACACAACTAGCTCTTATACGCTCTTATAGCTACGAATAGGTCGTATTATTATGTGTACTTCGCATGTGATCATTTGTGATAGACGTGCCATAATTTGCTAATCATCATCATACCAGCCTTTATCTGTCCACTGCTGAATATAAGCCTCGCCTTAGATAGGTTTTGCCAGTAATTGCTACGCTTGGCAGGCGGATTGGCAACCGGAGTTAGGATTTGGAGATGTTTTAAGAGGGTCGCCGCTGTCTATCCCTCGCCCTCCCTTAGTCGCCTTTTACGACACCCACGGGAAAGGAAGGAGTTTTGCTAATAATTGCACTAAATTAACTGCTTTATAGAATCTGGTCGTTTAAGGACCCTTTCCGAATACTAAACTCGGCAAGGGTGGTATGGGAGTCACCCCTTCCTTTCCCGTGGGTTTCGTAAGACGCGACTAATGGAATTTAATGACTGAAGGATGGGCAACAGCGATCCTCTTAAAACATCACCAAAGCTTAACTACGGATACCAAGACCACTAGAGGGAGACTTTGTACAAAAGTCATTTGCGTGGATACCTCTGTCCCATTCGTGTTTCAATCGTGAAGCAGTTATGTTTGCATGGCTGTGTTTCTGTTTGGAGGGTGGGATATGACGTGAATTTACAGGGTACAGAGGAATAACATCTGAGTCCTCAGGAATGGCAACGCATCGGGGATATTGTGGGCGAAACAGTATACTCTGTAATGTCCATGGTACTACCCATGTCTATAGGCGACGATTACCACTTTCCATCAGATGGGCCGTCAGCTTGTTTCCCATTCTAAGTTGTATAAAAAAAAAAGAAAAAAAAAACCAACTCGTTTTCTAAGTGTGCCCACTACTGCCAAAACCCCCGAGGGTGAGGCCTATGCTGATATGACTGTAATACTGAATATTATATAAATGAAGTATATAATTTTCAAGATAACGCCAGTACTCGATATGCATATATCCAAAAAATAATAACGGTCAATCGAATTGTATTTAAAAAAAAAGTGGCACGGTAACCTGCTGAGATATTGGCATATGAACATTCCCAAAAAAGTGGCATCGTAACCTGCGAGATATTACTAAATTAAACGTTCTCAAAAAGTGACATAGTAACTGCCAAGTTTTTTTTCGTTGTTATAAAAATTATTATATTGTGGCCTGTAAACCATCCCTATTCTAAACCATCTGACCCGCGGAGAAATAGTAAGCTATATCCTTCTCTCAATAGGAGAAATACGTGTAAAGACGTAGAAAATTAAAGCCATAAATCAAGGAAACATCATACATTTAGCAAACAATATTAACAAATCGCAATACCTAATAATATTATCGAAGTTTGCAGATTATCTATGTAGGTATTATTAAAACTCTTATCTTGCCATTTATTGGCAGTGTCAGAACCCGGAACCCTCCCATACAAGATAAGATCGCGAATTTTCAGCAAACAATTTAATCAAATAATTATTCATATGATAACCGCTAGATGATAGCCTATTAGCCCGAGTGTAGATGATTTTTTTTTAGAAAAATACAACCCTATCTGAAAATGGAAATTTCAAGGAGTTTTTTTGTAAAAGCCCTTTGTTGTATAGTGGTTAACTCGGATTATTCCACTGCTGAAAGTAGCCTCCCCCATAAGGGAGATTTTGCTAGTAGTTGCCAGGCTTGGCAACCGCAGTTTGGCTATTGATGATGTTTTAAGAGGGACGTAAAAACCCGTAGATACTCTTAATTGTCTCCTTCAAAATATTACATACAACAGCAAATTAAATAAAAACACAAAAAAATAACAGCTCAAATGCAGATTAAATATTTTTTTAGAAAAAATCCTACCTGAATGGAAATTACAAAGAGATTTTTTTGAAAAAACCCACAGATACTGTTAGTTGTTCCCTTGAAAAGGATACAATAGTAAATTTAGCAAAAACACAAAAATAAAAAGCAAAAAAAAAAAGACGTTGATTGTCAACCATACAATAATATGCAAATTATGACATTGTGAAAGCTTTCGGTGAGTCCTTTGTCTTCGGACTCTTTCTAATACCAAAGTAAGGGCCTTGAAGACAGATCATTTTCGTACATAATGAAATTATCACTTTGGCTACGAAAACCTAGAAGACGTAACAGGAATATTAAATGGATTAATATCGTAATTACAAGTTGAAAATACCAAGATAATATAATTAATAACTTTCAATAAAATAATATGGACTCCAACAGATACGATAGGGGGAAAAGGGATTGTTAGTAATGGAGATTGAGAATCCTATTGCTAGTAATATACCCAACCAGGTCGAACTCCTCGCGATTCCCCTTGGAAACTATCACAGTTAATTCCTGATGAATCCATCATGATGGGCTAACCGGCCTGTTTTCATTTTCATCAATCACCCTTCACTGGTGCTCCGCCAGCGTATCTCGTTAGCACAGACAGGATTACCATACCATTTTCACCCAACAGAAAACAGATAGGATATATGCAAATTTCTTTTTCATTAACATTTCAATCAAGGTAAAAACATTTATTATAATTTAAAAACCAATCTAGTAGACCGATTTTGATAAAGTTTTTGCTTCACTCCGCAATCCTTTTATATCCTTCCAGATAAAACTGATATACATCGGGGGGGGGGGGGAGGGATTAGTAGTAACGGAGACTGAGAATTCCATTGCGCAGGCGGGGGTACTATACCATTTTCACTCATCAAAAAAAGTCTTTTTAAAGTCAGTTGTAATTTTTTTAACAATTACATATGCAGATCGTAGTTTAACCAGAGGGAGAGTTTATATGAAAATATGTATATGCAGGCAGAATGTCGTATTTCTGTCACTAAACAGCTGTATTTGAATAGCTGTTTCTATTTAAAGGGTGGTTAGAGCAGTGACATTATCAGGTCAACAGTTCTAGAAATAAACTACAAAAACCCCATATTTTAACGAAAATTTTACTAATCTTACTGAACTAGTAGTTATGTTGCGATAGTCCACATCGCTGGTTAGTTGATTAGACTTGTCGCAAAACGTGTGTGGACTGAATAGTGGTCGGGGACTGATAGTTAATATGGAAGATTGCAGAACTTCTGATAATAGTTTTGGTAGTCAGTCTTCGAGTGTTAGCAGTCGCACGTAGAATTAAACAAAATAATTTTAATCAACTAACCAACAAATTTTAGTCATATATTATTATAAGTCAAGGTTTACACAACGTTAAAAATAATCCGAGTTAGATTGTGCAAGTTTATCTTTCGAGCTTATATATTATATTATATATCTTTTTATATAGGATTTTAGCATAATCTCTTTATTGGCTTGCAAAAATAATAGCATAAATTATCATAATAAAACTGTATATATTCAAACTCTTTTCTCCTACATTCTTCACGACTCTGGAACGCGCTTCCTGATGCCATTAAGAGACTACCGACTAAACCGTCTTTCAAAAAAAGCGTTCACGCTCACTTTTTATTTTTATCCGAGCAGTAAGTACTTTATATTATTCTCAATTTCGTGTATAATATAGTATATGTCATATACATATGTGTAAGTATATTTGTTATTTATATACATTTATTCGTTTATATATGTAATTTTAGTATGTATGTATATCAATAATTAGTAGTACCGCATTCGAGTATTCTGACACTTCCCTATGGTTGACTGGGAGAGAATGCTTTTAGCATTAAGTCCGCCATGTACACATATTTGTACTAATGAATAAATAAATAAATAAATATATACATACGCACTTTATTTTATACAACACTAGTTTTTACCCGCGACTTCGTCGTTGTGACTTAGATATACTAATCTTGATTAACTGGTGTAAAAAGTTAGGTCCATCTCCATGACAAATAAGAATACACTTTCATCGAAAAGAATCATAAAAATTGGTTCAATTGATAACGAAAAGATATACTCAAATTTATAATCTCCTTTTTGAATAAAACTACTGACACTATCTAAAATTTTTGATATATAAAAATCCTGGGTCACGATGTTCAGACACGCTAATAGCCGAAACCACTCGAATGATTTTAATGAAATTTTAAAAAAGTGTGTACTAATTGCCTCAACTTGAGAGATGGAATAGTTTTTATCCAGAAAAGAAAAAAAAAGTACCCGGTAGGTGGCGGTAGTAAGACAAGATTTGCCGGGTCAATTAGTACCTATGTGATAACATAAATATATAGAACTGACCTTCTGTCCAGCTGGTAGCCCTCGTTGGTCTCCTTCTTGGAGTCCATGGTGAGCTTGTAGTAAATCTTGGCGGCGGCTTCCGACTTGTCCTGGGCCGAGTACACGAACCCGTGCAGTTGTTGCAACAGGTTCCAGCTGAGGCTCCATAATGACTTGCTCATCTTAGGTGTGCATGTTACGAACCTAAAAACGGAACACTTGTCAGTAAACTCTACATACTTTTTAAATTTAAAAAAAGGTAGTTATGTGCTCGACTGTATATTTATTTCGAGTTCCCATCTTTTTCGTAAATTTGTTTCCATGTAAATACACTACCGAAAAAAATTAACGATTAAAAAAAAATAGCCAAAATTTTTGGCGTAATATTCATAATATTCATTCAGATTGTGCGATACGTGTTACTTGGAACTTTTTTTCTAAGATCCAAAAATGTGAAACTTCAAGCTTTAAATTGCTTCTTTTTTTATTCTAATACGACCATTTTTTATCTAAGATACAGCTATTTGAAAAATCGCCAAATATTTAGGTTTTATTTTTATCCCTTAATTTTTTCCACTAGTGTATTTACATGTATGTATATTTACATTACATTTATTATGATTGTAATTTGTTGTAAGACATTAACAACTGTATTTTATAATCATAGGGAAACTCACAACCAATTTGTGCAGATATGGACGCCATTGTGTTATACCATAAATAAACAATCTCTGCTTTAGGCTAATAGGAAAAGAAAACTTTAAAAACATTATTTTCCCGAGATATTTAAAATAATCCATAATGTAAATAAGTTTTTGTAATTAAATACTCATTTTATTTGTGTACATATTGTTATTATTTATAACCTGCATCATTATTTGAAGGGAGCAATAACGAGTTTTCATACATTCATTCATAATCCATAATGGATTATTTTAAATATCTCTTTAATCAATAACTTTACTTGCTATTGTTTACTTTATAACAGGTGGCGCCATCTTCGCAAAGATTTGCGCATACTTTTCCATTGTTCTGTCAATTTAGAAAATTTTGCAAGACGCTACAAAAACATACTAGAAAAATAGCATACGAAACGAACTACACATATTTCTATTATTCACGTACTAATATTTAATTATTAAAAACAATGAAGCACTTGTAACCTTGACTTGATTCAATGTCATCGTTCGAAATGAGAACAATGATTGTACGATTATAAATGATGGTCATTATGAATGTACATGACAAAAACAGCACGTAAACGATATAACAACTTATACAACCGCTCAAATATTATGCATGCATTTATTAGAATTTCTGGTCCTTTGACCCGGATAGTTTTAATAAATAATTTCATTTAAATAAATGCTCAAAAAAGTATACCTAATAGATAATAAATAAATGTTATATCATAAATATAACTACAAAAACATTGTTAGTAGATTGTGTAAAATAATTAAAACCAATTATATAGTTTTTTTTTTTTATTAATATAATGTCGTCAAAACCTTGACCGAATGTAAACAAAGTATCGCCACACGTAGATAGGATTTCTAGATTAAATCCATTGTTATTATAATAATAAATGTTATTGTAATGAAAGATTGTAGTATATTTTATAACAAACCGTCTCTTTCTGCGTCAGAATTAGGGAAATAAACCGATATAAGATAGTCTCGTCAATGGTGCGATAACTTTTTAAAGAAATACGTCAATCATTAATTTGCGCTTACATAACGCATTATCAAAGGAAATTTCTGGGTGGCATGATTCTCGTTGACTATATTTTTACTATACTAGAGGGAGACTTTGCACAAAAGTCATTTGCTTGGACACCTTTGTCCCATTTGTGTTGCTACCGTGAAGCAGTTGCGTTTGCATGGTTGTGTTTTGGTTTGAAGTTGGGATATGGTGTGAATTTACTGGGTACAGAGGAATAACACCTAAGTCCTCAGGAATGGCAACGCGTGGGGGTATCATGGGCGAAACAGTATACTCTGTTATTTCCATGGTACTGCGCATGTCTATAGGCGACGGTTACCATTTTCCATCAGGTGGGCCGTCAGCTTGTTTGCCATTTTAAGTTGCAGAAAATAAATATCATCATCATCATATCAGCTTTTAATTGTTCACTGCTGCACATAAGTCTCCCCCTTGAGGGGTTTTACCAGTAGTTACCACATTTGGCAGGTGGATTGATAACCGCAGTTAGGCTTTGCAAATATTTTAAGAGGGACGTTGCTGCCCATCCCTTGACCTCCTTAATCACCTCAAATCACAAGAAAGGAAGGAGTGGACAGACCACACCATTGTTTTTATAATAACATAATAAAACATTAAATCTATTAGAAATTTATTTCATATATATCCTTAAAAATAAAGATTTTATTGTGATATCAATTTCAAAATTTTAATTTTAAAGTTAAATTATTTTTAAATTAGATTCCATTGATTGAAAAGATACAGTTTTTGGAGTTACTTATTACACGTTATTGAGTTACGATTATGTATTATGAAATATATTTGAACACATCTCGAATATCTGAGGCCTGACAAAGAACAGAACCCTAAGACCTATATTCAGCAATGGACTGCGTTTGAAGTGTTCACGGAATAATGTAATTTATAATTTATGAACAAATTTTTACAATACACTAATGATATGATATGAATTATGATAATGTACTAACAAAATACACATTAAAATAAACTTACACAACATCCATCACCGGCTTTAGCAAATTCATCATTCACCATCATTATGGATTAGGGTTGCCACCTTTGTACTATACATATATGTATATATGCGAGTATAGTATAAATGTGTGAAACTGAGTTTCGACGTAACGGTTCATCTAGTCATCCTTGTTTAGTATATACGTATTATTAGAGATAGAAAAGGACTAAATTTGTTTATTTTTTTACAACGATAAATTTACAGGCATAATTGGTAATTCTTTTTTGTTAAATGTTGAAAATATTACATTTCATCAATATAAAAAGTAATACCTTTTTACTTTTATTTATTTAGTACGGTCTATAATATCTATTAGTAAAGCGTTGTCTGCTAAATATACAAAAACATATAAACTTTTTTGTTTTTCAAAATTTCGTATTAAACTTTGTTCAAAAAAGTATATATGCATATTTTACTGTTCCAACTCATATCCTTATATAGAATTACCCTGAGTAATGACAATTGATATTTATTTTAATATTAAATACGCGTGGCAACCCTACGGATTGTGAACAATGCCCTAAACAATGACCCACCACCGGCTAGCCCGTAAAGTATGCAAAACTAACCTAGTCATTATGTTGTTGTGGCGGACACACTTCTTCCTAAGCACGAACACATTCCCAACCACTTTGTATTGCAGGGCATGCTTCTCTACTTTAACATCACCAACATAACTAAAAAAGCGTTGCGATATATTTAATGTTAATTATGATACATTTAATGTTAATTCCACTCAGGGTACATTTCATGTTAATTCTACTGGGGGTACATTTCATGTTAATTCTACTCGGGATGCATTTAATGTTAGTTGCACTTGAGGTGCATTTAATATTATTTGTACTTGTATTTGGGTACATTTGATATTCATTGTACTTGGAGTGCATTTAATGTTAATTGTATTTGAGGTATATTTAAGGTCAATTGTACTTGGGATGCATTTAATGTTTATTGTACTTGGGGTACATTTAATGTTAATTGTTCTTGGGGTACATTTAATATTAATTGTACTTTGAGTGTATTTAATGTTAACTGTACTTGGGGTACATTTAATATTACTTGTACTTGGAGTACATTTCATGTTAATTGTACTTATGGTATATTTAATGTTATATGTGGTAAATATAATGTTATTAACGAGATAATAGTAATTTACTAAAGCAATGAGTAGCATGGTTATTTTTCATGTCATGGTATTTGCGGGTAGGAAAAGATATCCTATATTAAAATCACGAGTTCACCACAATGATGGTTGACATAATCTTTACGTACTTATGTAAAATAAAATAATAAAAGACAACAAATTTGATTTGAAAATACTCGGACCGAAAATTGAACCTTGTGATTTTGTAATGAAACGCAAACCATAAGACCGATGAAGCATTTACATATGTTATATACCAAAAGCGTACATATACATTTTTTTTAATATAGTACTTATAGTTTAAAATCCGTTGACATTTACAGACTAAATCTACATTCGGACCCGCTTGGCAACACCATTGAATAGATCGACTGCAAAATAAAATTAATAAATGACCGAATTGTGATAAGCACATCCATTGATTATGATTCGCATGAAATCAGCAAACAAAACCTTCTGGCCTTTGACATAAGATTTATGATTTGTTCATTTAGTAATGATAATTAAAATAAAGTTTTTTTTTTTTTATTTCCAATTACTGGACAAAGGCCTTTATGTATTATTAAAATAAGATCGTAGTTTGTACGTCTCAATCGATGGTTATATTGTTTTTTATTTATTTTTTTTTATCGAAAATTACGTCGCCTTCTGGTTCGAGTAGGCATCTGTATAGATTTTTTATTTATTTCTCTGGTTTCTACGTCACTGTGGACTAATGTAATCATAATGTAAGGTCGAACAAAGTACCTATTCACTATAATTGTTATTAAACATTTCTATTGCATATCTAATGTAAGGCCATAGGTCTCTTTTATACGACTCGTCTGCGCCAGATGGCCAACAAAGACTTCGTATTAGTAACCGACTTTAAAAAGAAGGAGGTTGTATTTTTTGTTATATATGTTACTTCATAACACCGTCAGTTGTGAATCGATTTAAAAAAATCTTATTTCATCAGATTTTTTATTTATGTATAATTAAAGCGACAATAATTGTCAGTACATATTTCTTCTTAGATCTCATTCAATAAGAATAAACAAAATTGTTTATGGTGAGTTCCAAAATTAAAAAAACAACATCAAGTGACCAACAACTGCATATCAATAGTGTATTTATTTCGTAATATACGGGCCGTGACCTAATTATCGAGTCGTGAATATATAAACTTCATAATATACACAATATTAAAATATAATATTATGTCGAAATGAGAACAAAAATGATAATGCATTGACGTAATATCATCCTATCACTTCGAAAATATAAAACTAATTGAATGCACGATAATGAGGTTAAAGTGTTTGAGTGTAACACGACTGACAC